TGTAAACCGCTTAGAGAGGGCTGAAAGCCCTATGAAGCGGTATATAAGTCTAACTGCTATTGCTATTGCTATGGATTTCTCCAAATTTGCCAACAGAAAACGGTGCCTCCCAAAGTAAAACAAAATCAATTTCTTGACTTAAAAGGCCTCTGGCAAGTTCTCTACTAAGATAGTAATAAGTGTAGCTGAAACAAGATGTGAGATTTCCAGGACCATGGAAAGCTCCCCTGGACAGCCGTTGCCTACAAATGCTGGAGGTACATTGAAATCCTTTCAAAGTCCTCCCTTTGACCCCTTATCCCACCTCCAGAAGGCAATGAATTATAGAAGGCCAAGCTCCTGCCATGGGGGTGGGGTTTTCTCCCCTCTTCCTGCCTAGGATAAGTCCCCAGTGCTTCTGGACAGAGATGGTAAAGAAAAAATAATAATCTTACCGACTTAAAGGTAAAGGTTCCCTTTGCACATACATGCTAGTCGTTCCCGGCTCTAGGGGGCGGTGCTCATCTCCGTTTCAAAGCCGAAGAGCCAGCGCTGTCCAAAGATGTCTCCATGGTCATGTGAACGGCATGACTAAATGCCAAAGGTACACGGAACGCTGTTATCTTCCCACCAACGGTGGTCCCTATCTTTCTACTTGCATTTTTTAACATGCTTTTGAACTGCTAGGTTGGCAGAAGCTGGGACAAGATGTCTGTTACGCGGCGCTAGGGATTTGAACCGTCGAACTGCTGGCCTTTCTGATCGACAAACTCAGCGTCTTAGCCACTGAGCCACCACGTCTCCTTACTTACTGACTTACGGAGGGCGATTGGTTACCCTAAATTTACAGGCCATGTGTGCCCCCATTTTGTACCTTTCCAAAGCCCTGTGAGATTTTGCAACGACCAAAGGATGGTGTGTGGGTGGGAGAGAGAGAGACAGACAGACAGACATACAGACAGACAGACACAAACACACATGCACAGAGAGGGGGGAGAACCTTTTTAAAAAGTCATTCAAATTGTATTTATTATTTATTTATTTCTATTTGTATTTTGTATTTGTATTTTATTATTTGTATGCCGCCCTTCTCTGGGAGGACTNCAACCCAACCCAAACCCAAACCCAACCCAAACCCAAACCCAAACCCAAACCCAACCCAAACCCAAACCCAAACCACGTAATAGCATTTCCGACGCTTCTGCTTGTCATTATTAAACAAATTCCATATTGTCATTTGCAACTTCCTTCCAGCTTCCCAATCGACTTTGTCGGAAGCCAGAAGTAAAAGATCCAAATGGTGACCACATCGTTCTACGATGATGCAACAGCTGCCGATTCAAGGACCAGTCCTAAATCTCCTTTTTCAATGCCATCGTAAACTTTGAATGATCTCTGTACAATTGTTTGGTAATTGAGGACAACCGTAACCTATTCTCTTCTTTCTTTTCTTGTTTAGATTGTCTCAAGCAAGAAAGTAACAAGAGCACTCGTTCTCGGGAATGGAAAACCAGCCGGAAAGGGAATGATAACGGTAGGGTGATCTTTTCAGACATGTGGTGTTAAAGTATGGAATCAAAGTGCAGGACCGAAAACAAACAATCAAGGTTCACTGCAGTGATTTATTAGACAGAGCGTAATGGAGGGGGGGGAGTCTCATCCAAAGGGATAGTGGGAGACACATGTCTGTGTACAGAGAGGCACTCGTACATTTCAGAAAGCAAGGGGGAAAGGATGCATGCATACATATTCATAAGCAATAGTGCAATATATCTCTTCCCGCCCTTCTGTTATCTACAGAGAACAATCATCTTAGTTAAAAGAAGCATTTGCACATTCAGGGGTTGCTATGGGAATGTTCTGATAAAACTTGCCTCAGGCCACTGTGAGCTACACAGACAACCCTCTTTACGTCTCAATTTGTCTATAAAAGAGTCTCTGTGAGCCTTGATGGTTCAGTGGTTAGAATGCACTATTGCAGGCTGCCCACCACCTGAATTCTCACCGGCTCAAGGTTGACTCAGCCTTCCATCCTTCCGACATCAGTAAAAGGAGGATCCAGATTGTTGGGGGCAAGAGGCTGACTCTGTAAACCTCTTACAGGGGGCTGTAAAGCACAAGGAAGCAGCGTATAAGTCTAAGTGCTGTTGCTGTTGCTCATCTATCCATCCATCATCCATGATGTGCAGTGGTTAGAATGCCGTATTGCAGGCCAACCCTGCTCACTGCCAGGAGTTCAATCCTGACCAGCTCAAGGTTGACTCAGCTTTCCATGCTTCCAAGATTGGTAAAATGAGGACCCAGATTGTTGGAGGCAAGAGGCTGACTCTGTAAACTGCTTAGAGAGAACTGTAAAGCAGTATAAAGCACTATATAAGTCTAAGTGCTATTGCTATTGCCCTCCCTCCCTCCCTCCCTCCCTCCCTCCCATGTATTACTGAAACCTGGCTGGGCCCGGAGGGAGGAGTCCCCCTCACTGAGATGTGCCCAGAGGGTTTTCAGGTGCTTCATCAGCCGCGACC